GCAGCAAATAGATTATGTTTGGGAAGACTCTTGCTCAGTGTGAAATTTGCTGCATCCCCACATAAAGCCGCAGGCATGGGGTTCCTCTCCAACCAAGCATATTGTGGATGCCCAGGTATCTGACCCTCAGACATGTGTCCCTTCAGGGGTGGATGGGAAGGATTTGGCCTTTCTGACCCTCGACACTCCGACTCCCACAATCCCTCTCCAACAGGGCCAAAGGTAGAGGGTTCAGAGGAGTGAAATTTGCTGCATCCCCACATAAAGCCGCAGGCATGGGGTTCCTCTCCAACCAAGCATATTGTGGATGCCCAGGTATCTGACCCTCAGACATGTGTCCCTTCAGGGGTGGATGGGAAGGATTTGGCCTTTCTGACCCTCGACACTCCGACTCCCACAATCCCTCTCCAACAGGGCCAAAGGTAGAGGGTTCAGAGGAGTTGTAGTCCGAAACATCTGGAGGTCCAAAGATCCTCCAGACCTGGTTGAAGGCAGGCAACGCTGTGTGTAGGATTTCCTTTCTCCCCCTCCTGCTTCCCGTCACCCTCTTCCACCACAGCATTTACGCAGTAAGCGGTATTGTCCAAAGACGGACACTGACAGCTGCTGCCGGTGGAATGCGGACCCTGAGGCCTCACAAGATTAGCTTCCCCTCACCCTCAGACTCCGTGTCAGCTGAAAGGTAAGCACCCCGATGGCGACAGCGGGCAAAGTCTGACTGGGTTTCACTTCCATACCATACGCAGAGGCTTAATTTCAGCCAAGGGATCACCAGACCTTCCTTCGGGAACATGTTTCAAATGCCTGAACTGTGTGATGTAATGAAAAAGGAAAAGAGCCTCTGAGCATGTGCAGAGTGTATTTGCTTTACAAGGGCTAGAAGCAAAGGGGAAAAAGCAATCTGTAATAGTGATGTGCATGGTCTTCAGTTGAATGTGTAAAAATGAACCAAATCAAGGGGCATTTGTGCGTTTCCAAGGCAACAACAGGACACAGCAAAGACCCAGAGGGTATTAATGGAATGGAACGGTGTACCCACAGATCCCTCATGTAAAATCCAGCATTCACCTACTGCAGTCAGAAGTGAGGAAAGATGCAGAAAAACTCAGGAAGATGGAAGTTAGTGTGTGTGTTTTTAACCTTAAAAACGAACCCCTCTCGCCTTTCCTGCCACAGAGTCACTGACTGAATCAAGGAAGTCTTGCGGTTGCACCACCGCTGATTTCAGAACCAGGGAAACAAGGATTGTGGGAGCAGATGTGGAGTGTAGAAGAGCAGAATCCTGGCAATGCCATTTTAAGAAGGCATTGAAGACAAGCATTTGCATCGACCTTTTAAAGTTGCGTCTGGATGACTGCCTTGAGAAGCTATGGGGGGGGGCTTTCCCCTGGTGACTGGGGAAAAGGAGGAAACTAAAAATAAAACAGAGTGCCCAGCTCTGTGCAAACTGATACCAGTGCCTTTCTTCTCTGCCTTCCCTACTCCGTTGATGCCTTTGTCTTGCTGTTTGTGTATCCCAATTCACAGCAATGGGATCTTCAAGGGAACTGGAACCATACAGAGAATAATCAAGGATTGGGACGTTCCCCACCGATGTGCTCTTTGTTTAGGCATGGACTGGGTTGGGGGGCTTCCAACAACACCTGGAAGGTCCTGGATTGTTTTCGTTTCACTTTCTGGGGTGTAAAATCTGCCACCCTGACCTGGCTGTGCTGATGCTAGAGGGAGGTTGAATATGAAGCAATATGGATGTGCCATCTAGATATTTTTTGGACTAGTTCCCAAAATTCTCTGTTCTGAAAATTCTAGCTGACAGACCCATACCAGAGATGCTTAAATGTGGCCCACCTAGAAAAACAGCCACGCTGGAAGGCGTCATGACCCAGCTTCCTGGTCAAAAAGGAAGCTGGCTCGCTATTCCTTTTTTTAACAGAAAGCTAGGGCATGAAGCCTCCCAGTTAGGCCTTCCTCCAAATGAGTTACATTTAGGAGTCTCTGGTGAGGGTCTGTCAGGCACAACTCCCAGAACAGAATTCTGGGGGCTGAAGTCCAAAAAAATCTCAATGGTACAACCCCTACTAATTACTTGATTTTACTATTTCAGAGTAGATGTTGCCTTGGTGGTTGAATCACATCATTCCTGAAAGAGAGATTGCTTTGTTTCTGCTTCTCATAGCAGTTTCCTTAAGGACTCCCACATTCCTTTTGATGCTGCTGTTTTTGTGAGGTCCTAAAGATGCTGCTGAAATATCATCCTTCCCTATTGCCTATGCTTTCTAAACCTAACAAGAGTTGCAGTTAGAAATGAGAGGTATTTGTATGCGAAAATGAATATCCCCCCACAGGTGCAGATAACGAGGGTCCGCCCCCCTGGGCCAGACTGGACACTCTCCCTTCCGCCACTGCTATGGGCTCTGCGATCCCTTCCTATTGCTCCATTGCTCGTGATGGATTAGCCACTCTTGGCAGAATGTGGAACGATGAGCCTCTCTGCCAGGTCGCCGAGTGGTTAATCCCTTGTGAGCAACGGAGCGATAGGAAGGCACAGCAGAACTTGTGGCAGCAGCGGAATCGTGAGTGGTCGGACCCTCTTTATCTGCACCTGTGGGGGGGATATTCGTATTCGTACACAAATATGAATACCCCCATCTCTAGTTGCAGTACAAGAATACTTTTGAAATATGAGTTTGAATCTTTGTGTATATAACTGTGTTAGTGCTGAGTTAGGGTTGCCGCTCATTTTTTCTGAGAAGCTTCTCACCTTTAACATGTGTGCATCAGGTAGACACAACATAGACCTCTTCAATGCTGGGAATAGTCATATTCCTTAGTATCCCAAGATGGGGTGGGCAGGGACAGGATAGAGGTGCCATCCCAGAGTTCTAAATTTATTTGTTATTTTAAGTACACAGATGCATGGGGGGGGGAGTTGTTTGGTGAGATAGTAAATCGTTCTACAATTGTGGTGTTTTGGTATTCAGAATTTTCCACCCCATCAAAAATTTGTACTTTATAGAAAACTTGGAAAAACCCAAATTGACCTGCTTTCATTTTTTATTCTCCAGGGGGGGAAANGGCTTGATTGCATCCCTTCCTTCCTTCCTTCCTTCCTTCCTTCCTTCCTTCCTGTCCAGCATTCACATCTAGTAAACTTGAATGCCTGTTTGATTTAAACATGTCTATTCAGTTTCATTGCCATGTTGATGATATTCTCAAGGACACAAAAATAGTGCAGGAGGGACTCAAAGGCCTTTTTAGTGCAATGTGTGAAAACAGCCAAAGACAAGTTGTTCTTCAGATGGGGCATCTGTCTGGTGCCTGTTGATAGCTGCTGCCCATATGGCAGGGAGCCACTTTGAAGGCAACATTGCTGTAGTTGGTGTAGCAACCGGTGGGTGTGTTGTTGTTGTAAACCTTGGAATCTCACAGAGAGCCAGGGAATGGGCTCCCACCCAGCAGAGTTGCTAATATTGGACTCCTGACTTTATCAGCCCTGAACTCCCGCCAGGTTATTCTTCTAGAGCTAACAGGACACCAGAGCCTGCATCCCGGACTGTAAAAATGGGGAACAGGGGAGACACACACATATCTGTATGGGTGTCTGCTTGTGGACATATCTCTTTCTCTCTTGCAGCTGCTCCTTTACTAAGTTGTTTCCACTTTGCTCTGTTAAGTATCTTTGCTTCTCAGCTTCTGCCCTTTGAACTGGTGGCTTCCCGTTCATGGCCAGAACATTCCTGAATTACCCTTAATTAGTCAATTCCTATTTTCTGCAGGAGTGTGTTTTGTCTCCACAGAATTTGTGCATTGCTTTTGTGAAATTGTATGTTTTATATGTGATTTTCCAATAATAAAAATGAACCATTTTGCCTGCTCTCAAATTGTTATTAATTTAGAACTTAATTAATTAACTGGAACTTAAATTCTGCTAAAGGGGTTGTTGTGCAATACTCATATGTTGCTCTAAATTTTGTCATTGCTTATGCAGCATCATTCAACAGCAGTACATAAATGGAAATTTCACAATCGGATGATACATTTCTGTATGATTCCTTTGTGTATCCAGCCAAATAATCAGGAATGACCCGTTTGCAACTGCAACTTGTTCTTGGGTTCCCCACTCCGGGAAGTTTTAGTTGTTTTGGCTGAATTTCCTAAGAATGTCATATCCACTTCAAAAGACCAGTGGCTGTCAATGTTGAAATGAACGCATTTCACATGGATGAATCTGCAGAACTTATTAAAGTTGGTTGTAATAGTACCTTAAGAGAATGTCAGATGACTGCCTTCTCTGACTGCATTTATTGCATAATGCTGCTGCCTGCAAAGCAAATGTCTCATTTCTCTCTCCCTGATTAAATTGACAAGATATCTGTCTTCCCACCTCATAGCCCAGTATGACTGTCTTACACTGCATTGCGGTGATGCAACAGGGCTACTCTAAGAAGAAGACAGGACTTTATACATCTGCTGATGGTATCCTATAGATCAGTGGCTCCCAACTTTGAGTTCCCAGATGTTCTTGGACTAAAACTTCCAAAAGTCGTCATCACTATCTGTGCTGGCCAGGATTTCTGGGAGTTGGAATCCAAGAACATCTGGGGACACACGGTTGGGAACCACTGCTATAGATTGAGATGGTGGGAGTACTGGTGCATGATCCATACATGCACTTGGATTTGTTTGCTTTTCAGAAGCCGACCTTAGGAACATCTGTTTAAACATAGATCTACAGGTCTGATAAAAGAACTGTGAGCAGTTTATGTGACAATGTTGGCCAATTCATATATGGCATTTTGTATTTGCTTTAGAAACAAAGCTCCTGGAACAAAGACCCATACTCACATTTGAACTTTGAAGAACAATTGGAAAGGTTCTTGTGTAACACTTTCTATGCAGAAAGTGAATAGAAACTCAAATCCCTCTGGATTATTTGAGAAAACCTCGTGGCGCAGTGGTTAAAATGCTGTACTGCAGCTAAAACTGTGTTCACGACCTGGGGTTCAAATCCCAGGTAGCCGGCTCAAGGTTGACTTTTGACTTATTTGTTGGAACTGTCTTCTGCATTTTCCCCCAACATGGGACACCAGGAGGTGTGATCACATTGAATAAAATTACAGTTAAAACACAAAACAAACCCGCTTATTAAAACACAGTTAAAAGTAAAGCAACATTTAAAATGTATCAACGAAAATAAACAACATAGAGCACCCCACTTGGTAAAAAGCACCTCCTTCCCTAGCAACCAACCAATTGTCAGAATTTGTCTTGAAAGGTAATTCTCTGCTACCGGAAGAGTCTTCTCTTGGGAGGACATTCCATTGCCTGATCAACCACATACAGGTAGTATTTGGTTGATCATGGACTTTTATTTCAGACTTTTTTTTTATCTTTTGAGACATTGTAGGAAGAAATAAAAAAATTAAAAAATAATTGTTCCCTGTTTGGAGTAACTCAGGCCACAAATTTATTACAGATGAAGAACACAGGGCCACATCTGTTATGAAATGGTATACTGTACATACTTCAGCTCAACTGTTGGGCCCTCTGGGATGAGAGGAGGTTGAAACCACATGGGCTCTCGACCACTGGGTGGAGGTCTTCATACCTAAGACTGAAACAGACTAACAATCTCTGAGCTGGGCATGACCCCCAAAGCCCACACACTTCAATGCCTTTGAGGGATCCTCGGGTTGAAGATATGGGCACACAGCCTCCTTTTCTTTGTCTCTAAACGCAGTCCAAAAACTGCCCAATGAAGCAAGTACAGAGCACCAGTTCAAGAGGAGTATTGCCTCCCTTGGATAAATCTGAGGCTAGCCAAAGTCCATTGTCTATGAATAAAGAAGGGAAGTGTCACAAAACTCAGCTATTGTGTAGCATGGGGTCAACACTTAAATGTCCTCTAGGTAGACAGGAGAAAAACCTCTGGAAGCTGCAATACTTTCTAAGGGGCCAAACACCCAGAAACCTTGTACATTCTGGTGAGACCAGTTTAGGCTGGATGAGACCACCCCATCCTAGTGTGAAGATGACATCTGCCTGCTCCATGCCCTGCTGCAGGATACAACACTAGGCCACCACTAAATGGATGAATCCTTGCTTTCAAGATATTCTGCTTGCTGGCTGGCTTGTTTCTTTGTTTCATTTTATTTTTTGATAACACATTTCTTCATATTTGGAAAGGAAAGCAGTTTGTTTATGAACCATTCAAAGGGGAAGACGCCGCAACTGATTAGATCCATCAGTCTGGGCCCAAGGTTTTCAGTGCTTTCATTGTTTCAGAATCTTCATATCTTCAACCATATTATTTGTTTTTATTCTTGTATTTATTTTCATTTGTATGCTGCCCTTTTCCCAATTAAAAGACCCAAGATTGTTCAAAAGTTGAGAAAAAAACAAATTAACTAAAACCACAATAAATTATAACATTAACATTAAACATGTAATGGTATTAAAAACAGTCTGCTAAAATGATTAAAAACACATTTAAAACAAACATAAAATAAAAACACATACAAAAGTGTCCAGTATACTAGCTGCCTTTAGCTGCTGAGACACTCCTCCTTTTTAATAGCTATATGGCAGACTGGTGCAACCAGGTCTTTTCTATACTGGGAACAACTAATGTGTTGAATTTGGTGGTTGCTGCAAATGGAGAAGAATTTTGTTTTAGCTCTTTTTTAAAGAATTAGCTAAAATTCACAAATTTCTTCGTATTCAGGATGGAAAGAAATTGCAGCTGAATACATTTGATTGCAGAAGAAAGAGAAAGTGATAGATTTTGTTTTCTCTAGCCTCAGACGGCCAGCACGATGCGGTGACAAAACCCATGTTGATCCACTCGTTTGATGCCAACATGGTATTTATTGTTATCTGAAGCCAGTTGCTTCTCTTCCCGCCAGGGTTCTATTTGTGCATTTTCTAAGTCTATAAATGGAAACCCTAGCTAACAAGAAATTATCACTCAGGGAGAACTGATACAGCTCTGTCTCACAACTTGAGTATGTTCAGTCGTGGTGACTAACGTGTAGCTGGTTGAGTTGCTTCTTTATGGGCTCTGAGTTTCCTCCTGGGCAATGGAGGTAGAAAAGCATAACAGAGAAGCTTCAGCAAGAGATACTTTGTGGAAGGAGAAGCGAAAGGTAAGATTGGGGTTACCCTGGAATAATTAGGTTTTAACTTGGTGTTAGAAGGACAAGGAAGACAAGTAGCTCTTGCATAGCAAGGATCTTCCAGTTGCTATTTTGATACTTCCTCAAGTCAGTGACCTTGAAGATTAGTCAGCTTAATAGTAGTGTGTTGAAATTAAATTATGCTATGCTCTTTCAAGAAGAGTTGTGAGATGTTGCAGTTGGCATTTCTACACAATTTGTTTAGAGCGGCACATAGTGATAAAACATACATTTGTATAGCATATAATGCTAAAACCCAAAGGCCTGTTGTTATTTGGGATTTCTTTTTAAAGAATCAGTTCTACGGTTTGGTAAATCTTATGACATGCTTTAGAGTCTAGGTTATATTGAACAGGAGTCTGATACAGAGCAGCAAAACAAATTATGGAAGATGAAGCTGGTGATGATGGTTCTTCTGTTTATGAGACTGAGTACAACTCTAGAGTGATAAATGGCATTGACTGGTGCCAAAAGTGGTTTTCCCAGTGGCATGAAGGCGCCGCTGTGTTATTCTTGACTCTGAAAACTGATAAGCTGTACATATATAAAAAAAGATTGGCAGTCACTTACAGGGAATAATAAATCTAAATGGCAACACATTATTGAATTAATAAGGCACTACAGTAGAGCCACTTTTCCTACCACATAGGGATAATTTTGCTAGCTTTTGCTTGCATTTTCTGCTGTGCTTGGCAATTCACTGAAGATTATGGTCAGCACTGCAAACATTTCACCAAAGGCATCTATGGCCTGTTTTTGTCTTTGTTTGAAGCCTACCCAGTAGTCCCAACCCTTGACCTAGAGGTTACCTTCTCCATTATCATTTTACGCACATTACTTGCATTCCAACACAAAGACTCATTAACCTAGTGACCCAAGCACAAGGCCGCTGCCACCCACTGGCTGGACGCAGAGTCACTTTTCAGAATGAGCGTGTCGTCGTTGTAGATACGTACCTCTTGCTGTCAGCGTCTGAATCTTGGGTTATGGTGCAATAACTGAATCAGGCTGTCAGACTCTCTTATTTGAGTTGGGCTCTCTTGAGACTATTGAAGGTTGGATTTGGCTATGACTGAGATTGTTTAATTGTACATGGGGAAATATAAATGTCACCTTCAACTGCATATATGATATGGTGACAGCATATCTTCAACTTGACTATATATCACACGCACATAGGGGGCAGGAAAGCCTGCAAAATGCATGGTGTCTTTAAATATAATTGAGGAAAAGAAGTTAGGTAAGAACATGGTAAAAACAATGGCAATTTAAGACTACTCAAACCAGGAAGAAGCTGGTTAGATCATCAGTGGACAAAACTCTCCACTTGCTTAAGGTTCTCTTTATTACAACAGCCAGATGTCCATCTCTGTAGATTTTCTCCCAACTTCCAAATGTCATTACATTACAAAGAAACAAAGTGTGCTTCAAGGCAAGGATAATGCAGAGGTGCGTTTTCCAGAGTCTGGAAATGTTCTTCAGGAGTAAAGCACCCGGAATGCCCCAGTATGGTCACATTTTGGCTGAGGGATGTAGCCATTCTGGGAATTAAAATACAGTAATTAAAAAGGGGGGGAGTGTGCCTGGATTCGCTGCAATCCTTTGGCAGATTTAAAGAGTCATGTATTTGGCCGGGCAGCCTTCGGGGCTGGTCTTTTGTCTTAGGTGAAAGCAGGGTGGACAAACTCGGTACCAGTTGGAAAATGGAAAAAAAGCTACTAAGAGGGGCTGCTTGATAAGACGTTTTGCTACTGCCTTTAAGGAAACGACTGCATTGACTTCCAGTGGTGATGACTGGTTCAGAGTGCCAGTAATGACCCTGAAAGCTTTTCTATGCTTTTGAATCAAAATCCCCGGTGGACTACTTTTGGCCATATAACTTTGACCACTTGTTGAGATGATCAAAGGCCCTCCTATGTATCCCAGCAGTCTGAGTCCTGTGCCTGGCAGGAACTCGACGGAGACTTCTGACATGCCTCTTGCCCTGGAATTCTTTGCAAAGGGAGACGAAACCCCACCGTCTCTCATGCTGCCTGCCCTAGAATGGTCAGTGCCTTCATCTTTGGGAAGGCTTTACGGCCATAAATGGCAGCTCCTATTTGGGAGTGACTTAATACCTTTGTTTGTGTTTGTGAATGGTTTGTTCTGCACGATTTTATTCCCTCCATTCTTCTTTTTATGGCTTTATCACTGCATTGTATTTGAATGGATTCTTGAATTAAGTCATTTTTAAAAATGTAGTGGCTTTGGGCATATTAAATAAATAGATGAAGACTCCTTCTGCTCACAGAAAGGCTAGTGGTGAGTCAACAACGTTCACCAATTTATTCTTCTGCAATTTACCATACTGGTCTGGGAGCAAAACGTGGAAGGTCACCTTCCCTGCACTCCATGAAGTTCCATCAGCAGAGATCTGCTCACACGTTCTCTGCCTCCACCGAAACATATTGATCTTGAATAATACCAGTGTGTGTGTGGGGGTGATTGTGTAATGAAGGTCAGGATACAGTTGTCATGAAGAAATGGAAACTGTATGCAGTCAAGGCAACATCCTTCAAATCATAGTCTTGTTTCCTCCCAGCACATTTGCTCCCCTCTCTTCGTGCCACGTAAGGGCGAGGGCCCCTAAGGTCAGCTAAGAAAGGAAGAGCCCCTGAAAAAGAAGACACAATTGACCTTTCTCTTTACCAATAATAATAATCAGTTGGAAACAGAAATCTGTGGTCCAAGTCTTAGCATTCATGCTGAGGCAGACCGGCTTTGACTCAGTGAAATACGCAGGCATCAAATGCTCGTGTTTATCCTGTTGCACTGCAATCAGGAGCATGTCCCACCACCTGTGGTGAGTAGCAATTGTTTTCAAGCACATCCCAATAGAGCTCTGAGGTCTTTAAGAAGGAAAACATACCAGGCCTACCTATAGGGCTCTCATCTGTTTTATTCAGCTGCAAATGATAGAACATTTCTCCCCCTTCTTTATATCTCTCACATTTTCTCTTTTCATATGCCCTCCCCCCCTCCTGCCCCCCCTCCGTGTGTGTGTGTGAGTGTGACAGGGACTGACTGCAGCCACAAGGTTCTGCTCTTTCCCTCCCGGACACAAAAGAGCACCTCACCTAATCTGCCCTCCATGCTTTCTGCTGCAGCTGTTGAGGCTTCAGCTTTGCCCTACCTGACTTTTTTCATTCGCTTTTCCCAGGCCAAGGAGAGTGATAACTGGAAAGAAGCCGACATACAAGGGCGATGGGGGGGGGAGAGAGAGACTTGAAAGTACCACATCTTCACTCTGACATTTGTAACATACAGTACATGCAGTGAAAATATTTTCCATCCTCTCTTCCCACTGAATTTCACATACCTAAATATGTCAGAACACTCTGGCCAGCATAATATCCACAAGGAGGAATTGAAATAGATGCCTGCTGGAGATAAGGTTACAGTCTGTCACTTGGGTTCAAAACATTCATGAGGGCAGGGCAGCTGGGCATCACCATGAAGTGAAGGAAGCAACATGTTTGTGGAGTTGAGTTGGTGCAGCAGAGATGATACACGGATATCATCCTAAACGAAACCCACATTTTCTTGTTGTAATGAATCTCTGTATTGGGACAGAGGAGAGTTGGGCTTGTCGTTACTCAGAAGGAAGCAGCTGCCTCAGGCAGCAGATCCTGGGGATGGAGAATGGTGGCAAAGTCAGAATTATATGTACATGTCAGAGGTTCCTCTACAGCGTGTAAGCCAAGTGTAGCGAACAGCCCTGCCCTCACCTGTCCATCACAGCTGAACAGTGGAGTAGGAGCCAATGAGAGGATGGAAGGTGGAGCCAAGGGGGGAGGGGGCTGGATATAAAGGCTGGTGTATGGAGTATGAGGAGAGATTCTGTGAGTGAGAGACAGTGTGAAACTTAGAAGTTATCTTAGAGTGAGTTACAGTTCTGTAAGAACTCCGAATGGAACAGAGTGTTAGTAGAAGTTTAAAGTTAAAGTAGAACTGATTCAAATACAAGTGATTAGCAACCCGTGATTTGCTTATTGAATATTAATCATATGTCATCTTCCCTGATATAATAAATCATTTAAGTTTTAAAAGTACACATGTCTCCTTGATAGAATGGTATTGAAGCAGCAATACCTGGTGGCAGCGACGAAAGAAGAAGAGCGAGAAGCCCATGAAGACCTGAGGGGATAGGGGCTTCAGAGGAGATCGCCACACCAAGCTTTCAAGTGTGGTAGAGGCAGCTAGCACTGAAGTACAAGTCTACTTCCTGGTCGGTTCTCAAATATGGTAACAGGCATACATCTGTAGCATTTTCTCTTTGTCTTGCACTAATCCTGACAGATGGATATTGGCTTTCAAATCTTTGTAGAACATCAGACAGACACATAAGTCTCTCAGCTGTTATCAGTGTGTGGCACACAGATGGCCTTACTTCCCATAAGTAACTGGATAGGTAGTTATTACAAGCCTATAATATACAGTCTGCTTTTTAACTGCTGCTAATTTATTCATCTATCTATCTATCTATCTATCTATCTATCTATCTATCTATCTATCTATCTATCTATCTATCTATCTATCTATCTATCTATCTATCTATCTATCTAATTGGATGCATGCAATCCCTGGCTATGCAGAATGCTTCACAAATTGCCATCTTGCCACAGATTTGAATCCACAGTACTTTGTGACCTTTATCTCTTTTCCCCCTGAACCGTACCCCCATGGGTTTAGTGACTCCGTATGAAGTGGGAACTGAGGCTTTCAAACACATACAACAATAGTCCCTCAGAGCCACACTAAAACCCCACAAGAGCTAGGAATATGCTGTTCAACATGCTTATTGTACGAGAATTGGGGGAGAACAATAGTAAGCATGTGGATAAAGTGTCATGGCTGCATGAAACCCATTGTCCCATAAGGTACGATGCTGAAAATCTGTTCACATGCATGCATGCACACACACTCTCTCT